ACATCAATGTCCACCCACTTTTGTTGTATTATCTATATTGTTGTAAGAATGCATTTTAGTATTATTTACATAAACATCCACCCACTTTTGGTTGTATTATCTATATTATTGTAAGAATGAATTTTAGTATTAATTACATCAATGTCCACCCACTTTTGTTGTATTATCTATATTGTTGTAAGAATGCATTTTAGTATTATTTACATCAACGTCCACCCTCTTTTGGTTGTATTATTTATGTTGTTTTCCACCCTCTTTTGGTTGTATTATTTATGTTGTTTTCCACCCACTTTTTTAGTATTACTTATATTATCATTCACCCATTCAAATTAAGAAAGCCGGCTTGTCTCAAGATATGTTTAAAATGAAATATCCAGAACTCAACTATGAAAATACTTTTGTACGACAATATTTTAAACGTTTATGGAATTATTTAGTTTTAAAGTTAACCTCTTTCTTTTTCTCTAAATTTCAGCAGAACTTGTTTAAGTTATTAATCAGTCTTGCTACTTATATCACCCTCCATACTCTTTCTTGTTAAAACTTTTTAGGGATTGCTGTGCCATAAAAAGGAAAATCAATAAAAATAGAAATTTAATAATTTAAATCAGGAAAGATAAGTTTGAAAAAATAAATAACAAGCAGATGATAGGCCAAAGCAAATAGTACATATAAAAAGCTAAGGACTGAAAAAGCAGGTTAAAAACTGAACTAGTGACAAATTTGAACAAGCAACACGCACAATTATGACAGTCTAAATTATTTAACACCAGTAAGAAGCGGTTGAGAAAACCAGCATCAAAAGTTTAAAGGAAGAGATGAAATAAAGCTAGAAAAACAGTTTCACTATAAGAACATTAAACTAAAACTTTGTACATAATGTTCTTACAAATATAAAACGTGAAAGCAAAATAGAACCCAGAATTTTTTAAACATAAATTAAAACTTACCTTTTTCTAAAGAATAGCCATTTTTCAAAACTGGATTTTATGGAAGATTCATTTCAAGGACATGGATATATTATTATACATTCTTTTCTACTTTCACTCAGAAATTCTTACAAGTATTTCTTGTTGTTTATTTGAGAAATAAATATGATTCTGTTTTAATCTCGGCTACAGCCCGTACAGCTGTGTATGAAATTAAATATTCTCTCTTACTTAAAATCCAACTTTTTTACTAACAAAGCAGAACTAACATAAGGATTTTCTGACATATTGTTGCAGTTAATCTGCCACAGTATGTATCGTAGCATCCCTCTGGTGTACCTTTCGTTTTGATAGTTCTCACAGGAATTCCTTTGGATCAAGTTGTAAGGCATATTTCGCTGTATGTAATATAATCACACATCTGCATGAAGGTTTTTAATTTTAGATTGATATATGTGTGTTACTAGTTTTAATACTTGGATGATTGGAGTTTGTAACATAATAAAGTAATCTCATTTCATTGTTATGTAAATCATGTGATAGGTTACTTAGCCTTTGTTTTAAGTAAAGGTCCCACACAGTTTTGTCCTAGTTGCAACTGTAA